GGTCTGATGAAAATTCTTCAAAAGCAAGTATATGCTCGTCAACTAGCCTCTTCAATTTTTTCACATTAATTTTCCAAACGAAGCTTGCAATTGACTACTTAATCTCGAAACGTGAATTTGTCAGAATTTATGCAAAAACCCTGATGATTGCAATAAATGCTGGTGAAATTGCGTATATACTTCGGTTATTTTATATTGCAGAGGAAAATATATGCAGAGGTGGGACGAACATCTACAGAAACGCCGTCCCTGCGTCTAGGTTCAATATTTTCATAACTTTCTGCGTTTTGCTACCCACATTGACAATCTACTTGACTGGGAGAAACGTTTATTTAGAGAAAATATGCAAACATAGGGAAAGGATACCAGTAAATGTCTACATCCACAGAGGAAGTTCAGAAAATAAAATCAACAAAATCGACCAATTTTGCTTTTATTATCTAAACAAACCACCAAAAAGTAGAAGTCCACCCACGACAGCGCACGTGAAAAAATTTCGGCAGCCCCAAATATAAAATTTACACGTCTGGAGCTGGAGTCAATTTGAATAACTATAAAGTAATATTAATCCAATTCTTCTTCGCTGATTTCTGATGCGTGATAGCGAGGAAAGCAGGCGCACAGCATGAAAACACATAGAAGTGCAGCTAACACGCTGCCTAAGAGAACCTAGTTTCGAAAGTAAGCATAGTTTAGAACAGCTGGGTCATGAGGAAGTATGTGCCCTTAAATGCCAAGTAAGACTTTTCAGGCCGACTCATTTTGAACATGAACATTTCCTCTTCCATTGTATCTCAGATTTTGGCACCAAAACTTAAGACGGTCCATGGAACATTCTGTGATGGTACCGTCCTGACACATTCAGGTTCACAAATGGTACAAGGGACTTCAGTTGTCGACAAGGCAATCATTTTCTTGTTAACTAAGGGAGCAATTTTCATTAATTTGCCTGCGATAGAAGAATCTGTCAATTGAGCAAATGTGTGGAAAACTACATATACAAAATAGGACTACCAATCGACCTACTATATGAATTATTATGCAGATATACTCTGAATGCACAGTTATAATTCCATGAAAGACTATACAGACGGATAAAGGAAATACTTGGACTTAAAATTGGGCGCACTGACATATAACCTGTTGTAGAAAGCTTCAGAGGCCCTAACTGAAAGACTGCATGCCAAAAGTAGATTAAGTAGCATTTTTGAATGCTGCTTTTGCTTCTTTTTTCGAATTACGCGCTCTAATGCGTGGCTTTATAGCGGCCGCGGCAAACAAATTCAACCAAATTTCATCATTTTACACTTACTTCTAGAAACTTCCTTTACTGTCTATCCTAGTTCTCCACCCACTAAACCCATGATAACACTGGTCCCATACGACAGGATGTATATAAGATTCAATACTTAAACTACTTTTGCCAAAACCTAAATGGAAGAAACTAGTCAGAACTAATATGAGATAATACAAGCTAGCCATCAAGTAGGCGGAAATACAATCGCCTTTCTTTTCTTTTATGTATGTAATAAGCGCTGCTTAAATCAACTTTTCCAGTTACCTTTAATGTACATATGCGAGAGAACCCCAGTTATGCCGAGCAGTTTTCTTAGTGAGGCAAAAGATAGCGCATAGCTTACAGTTCTCCGTAACCTGAAGCTAATTAACAGAATGTTATTAAGTAATCGGGTGTTGGATAAGAGCTCAGAATTGCGTATCTGGTGTAACATTCTTGCTCATATTAAGCCAATTCCCACTCCTTCCGCCACCATGTATACCACTTCCTGACTCATCCATCCTCAGCAAGGTGGTTACTGCCGGTGTATAATTTTGTTGCCATGCATAAACCGAAAAAAATTATTGTTTAGTCCTCAAAAATATGGTACATAGGCGTACTTGACTAACCGAGTTCGTAACCAGTTGAAATGACGGCTTCTTTGACAATTGCTGCGTTATCTCCTGATATGTTTTTATCTGAAGTAAAATTTGCTCAGCTGCTTATCGTATGTTTTCCCTTTATAGATTGAGGATATGGCCCACATGAACGACAACCTGACTGATCTTCAAAGGGTGGAGACAACAGAGTTTGAGCTGGACACCGAAGAGCATAATGCTATTTTAGATGAAACCAACTTAATATTAAAAAACGTAAGTACATCTGAAGACTGTGTAGGGAGCAATAAAAAGTGGATGTATTTTTTGGACGCAAGTTTAGAGCTGAGGGTAGTATGGGCGGAATTTCAAATCAATAATAAATTATTCAAGGGAACACGGTAAAAGACTGGGAAGGGCAACTTAGTTTATGGTGTTAGTTGATTCGTAATCAGAGAAGCTGCCAAAGAATCAGCTAATTTATCAGCAAAGGTAGCTTATGTAGTCCCAGTCATATACCCTAGTCCCAGCATTTTGTCCTACGAAAACGGTGGTTGTGCGGTTTCTCAGTGTGGCAAAATAGGATAGGCAATGAGGGAAATTTTTAGAAGTAGGTGTAAAGTGGTTAAATATAGTCGAACTTGTTTCCCGCGGCCGCTTGGATTAAGTTTTTCTGCATGTAATTTCAAGTTTTGCGCAGCGGTTGCCGTCGCGG